CATGCATATGAGAGAGCCCAGATTTTTTTTTTTCTGTACTGCTGAGGAATTCAGAATTATATTCCCAGAAAAAAATTATAATTTAGGGCATATTCAAATGATTTATATAGTCAGCTATCTAGGAAAATAGCTGTTTCAACATAGACATGGCCTGATTTGCTTTGCAAGAGACGTGGATTCTTTTAAATTATAATTTCCTTTAACTCTTATTCTTTTTTGTTTAGGCAACTCAAATTTTCTTATTACCAGGCTTGACTTTGGACTCTACAAAAGAAACTATGTCTCCAGCAGCCCCTAAAACTCAGGAGTCTGTTCAATTATCAAACAAACTCATGCTTGAAAAACAGGTAAATTGAAATATTTTAAAGTTTTTCAAAATATGTGCAAAATAATGTTAGATCTATAAATGTGAAAAATCTGACTTTGGAAGATTTCCTTGATTAAATAATTTTGGGGAATTCTGGGGTAAATATTACTAAGTAGTTTTACTGACACATCAGTCTCCAAAGGACAATTTAATATATGTCATTTTCCTTTGATCACTAGTTTGAGTATTTCATTAGACTTGTGTTCTGCAGCACCTATTTTGGAAAATGCTATTCCCTGTTATTTCAGAATTCATAAACTTTTTTTTTTTTTAGTATATGAAGTATCAGGTAACAATATGTATAACTTTATCATTGAAAATGTGTAACCTTATTATATACAGAGCATTTTTTTTTGAGAGAGAGGGGGAGAATTTTTAAAATATTTTTTAGTTTTCAGCAGGCACAACATCTTTATTTGTATGTGGTGCTGAGGATCAAACCCGGGCCGCACGCATACCAGGCAAGTGCGCTATCGCTTGAGCCACATCCCCAGCCCTGAGAGCATTTTGTTTTTAATGAATTACAGTAATTAAATAATTACAATGAGTATCCATTGATACCCACTTAGAAATTTTGGTCCCTAAAACAAACATCAGTGATAATTTTAATCCTGAATCCATCAAGTTGTTCAGTTCTGTGATCAAATGGCCTAAGGCATAAGTGAGGGAAAAGTTGTGTGAGAGAGAAGTATATAAAAAGTAAAGGGGAGGAAAATGTTAGCAGTCAAAAAGAAAGATATATTTTGGGCTAAGAATATAGCTGAGTGGTAGGATGCTTGCCTAGTATACATCATTCCCTGGGTTATGTCTCTACACCATACAACAACAAGGGTTTCACTATGATGTGGGAGGCAGTCTTGCTGAATGATTTGCATTCTCTTCCCCTTGAGCAGAGGGGCTCTGACCATCACTCTCCTAGTGACCTGGACATTGCCCTGGTCCTGGAGGTTGAGGTCGTGTCTTCAGACGTAGGCATGCCATTCTGCAGTCCCTTAGGTTGAATTACACTCACGTGTCCTTGTAACCCTGCCCCTCCTGACCTTTTTTGAAGAATGAGGGTCCCCCCAATAAAAGCTCACTTTCAAATGTACTCCCGCTCTCACCAGCCTCTCATGATTTTCCTTGCTTTCCCATTTGGGGAGCTTGAGGCTGAGAGCAGAGGAGCCATCCTGAAGCTTGATTTAAAGGTAAAATGTGTATCTGTGTTTTATTTGGTGTCCCAGGAAATTCACACAAGTGACCTTAAGTTCAGCTGCCTGTGCAGGTCAGGGGTGGCACTATGAGTCATGATAGTATAAAAGAACCATTAGGGTAATTTGTTTCTTTTTTTGTTGATAAACTGTTTTAAGTTATGCACTATATTAATAAAAAACTTGTGTTTTATATATTTATATATATATATTTTAAGCATTTAAACATTGAAACTTCTCTCGACCTTTTCACAGATATCCTTTAAACTTAAAAAGCACCTCACACAGTTATTTCAGAATCAATCATTGTACTTGCATTAACAATGGATTATATGGCCAGGCACGGTGGCATATCCCTATAAGCTAGTGGTTCCAGAGGCTGAGTCAGGAGGACCACAAGTTCAAAGCCAGACCTAAGCAACTTAGTGAGATCCTTTCTCACCAAAAACCAAACAAAAACAGGAGTTTACAGCTAGGAATAGAGTTTAGTGGTAGAGCTGAGGCTCTGGAAACTCAATCCCCAGTGCTGAAAAACTAACCAACTGAAAAATAACTCCCAAGACATATTTAAATACATGATATTAAATTGTTTTATAATCTTTGTATGTATGTGAGCTGGGGATTAAATCCAGGGTCTCTTGTGTGTTAAATCCAACCTCTAAATGTGTTGTTCTAAAAAATAATCTTTTTCAGTCCTTTATTTTTTATTTCTTCCCATTCTAATGTTTTTATTCATTTACTCAAGAGAGCTAGAATTCCTGTCTCAAGTTTAGGATGCAAATACAAATTCAGAATCAATTATAAGATTTCAGAGTGTCCTTCAGGTGATTCTACTGGAATTGTTGGTCAAGGTAGACATGCTTCTGTGTGATGCACTAGGTTTAAGTTTTTGGCTCCATCTAGTTAAGTGTGTCTTGATATTTTTGGGACTAGTCATTTGGCTCCATCTAGTTAGGTGTGTTTGAATGACTGATCTTTTCCTTACTATTCAATTAATATTACCTAGTTTGCACTGGTTTTTGAGTAGAGCCTGGTCTAGTTCATGAAATCTGTTTGGCTCACTGGAATTATGAAGTGTTGTAATTATTATTTTTTCTTTAATTTGTCCACTAAGGCCTACAAATGAACATTCTACTTGATGTGATAATTTGTGCTTATTTGCATGCTTCTTGTCTGTTGCTGATTTTGTTAGAAATAATAAATGTATTCAGTTTTAATCAGATATGCTTAAAAATTCATGTTTAAATTTTTTGAAGAAGCTGTTATTTTGAAAAGATAGGAAATTGTATTGTAAGAATTTTTCTTCATATCTTAAGGTTGATCCTTTTCTCTCTCCTTGTCATTGTAGCAGGAAGAAGCAGAATGGGAAAGTATAAATGTGCTGTTGATGAATCATGGCTTACAATCTTTGTGCTTGGTCAAAAGACCAGATATTAAAGGTAATCAGATCCTATTTTTTGTTTAAGGTAAAAAGTTTTTTCCTTAAAAAGTTTTTTAATCCTAAAATGTTTTACTTGATTATTACTATCTGTATTATATTTTTTAAAATGTAGATCTCATCCTTTTTGACAAACAGTCATCACAAAGGATGAGACAGAATTTGAAAACATTGATGGAAGAAACAGTTCGTCAACAGAACATGATACAAGAGCTTATAGAAAACAACCAGAAACTTA